AATTATTTTTTGCTAAGTACTTATGCAAACAAAAATCAAGTTTTAAGAATTATTTGCCATATTGTTTCAGTTAACTCACATAAACCCTTTTTTTGGCACTATTTCAGGATAAAGCAAAAAAAAAAATGGAATTTCATACTAGAGTGCCGGAAGAAAGGCATTCCTCAATCAAAATACCTCAAGAACGGCTTTGTAAACACTGATGAGAAGATCTTGGACACTTATGGAAAGACTCCTCAGCTCCAGAAGAGATGTCCTTTGTCAGATGAAGCAAATAAAGAAAGAAACAAGTTTATTTTTCAGCTTTCTGGAGAGCAGTGGACGGTAAATATGACTGAAAATATGTTTTTATTGTTAAAGATTTTGGGTAGCTTAGCACTGTAACTTTTAATCCCTCAAAACTTTTTTTGGCAATGCATATGAAATTGATGCTTTTTCACAGTATTAGAACTGAAAAAAGCAGTTCCTATCTTACCATGAACTCGTGTCTTAGTTTTCAAATAAGCTTATTTTAAATTCTCTACTGATACATGTAATTTATCCCCCTCAATAATTTTTATATAAGCAACCATATTGCAATAAGGTATCTTTCTCTGAAATTCCTCAAAGGATGGAAAGAGATGAAAATAATATTCAACTTTGTTGGCTTGTTGATGTAATCTACTACTCGGAGATCTGTCTTCTTTCTCCATCTTGCTCTGATGGTGTGATAACATTATTGTCAAGCTCTGTTAAAATCAAAACTAATATTAACATCAATCCACAGTAGTCTTGCTGAAAAAAGCACTTTTTACTTGCAGTTGTGTTTCTGTGAAATAACAGTTTGGAAGTGAGCTCTGAATTAATGCTCTTTTGAAATTCAGCAGAAGGTGGATTAAAATTGATGTGAAGTTTTCTAGAGTTGTTAAAGCTTTGACTAAAATGTATTTTGAGTATACACTACTTTATTAATGAGAAAATGAAATTCGAATTTTGACTTTTGTGTAGCTTATAATTTTGAAAGACAATTTTTAGATTTTCATTACAAAAATGCAAGTTAAATGTCAATCAACAAAGTGGATAAATTTTAGTAAAACAATTCTTTTGATTGACCTGAAACATAACTTTGTCCCAAATGTGTTCTTGAATAAGAAAGCATTTTATTTTTTGGTTTTATTTTTTTTCCTGGCTTTAGTTCATTTCTGAATAAATATAAAGTAGATGAAATTTCTTGAAAATAGAAAACCCTGGTCCCCAGTCAGCTCTAGTAAGACTGTTTCTTCAACTGATGCCAGTCATTCATATGGTAGGATTAGTTGCTGGAGAGCTATCATGTCTCATCTTTCAAGAACCTTAGATATTGACAATGATGTTAAACCTGTGTAGTCTTATACTATACACTTCCCTGTGTTGTAAACTTTGTAGGTATGTTACGGGAAAAAAAAGAGATATTACAGCTCCTTAGACACTGATATAGTAACAACTGCAAATATCTTCAGTGCACCAGGGAGGAGAGAAGTAAACTTTTCTGTAGCTTATTCTCTTTTGTGAAATCTTTAATGTTTTGCTTTGTTACCATAAACATCGCTTTACATTAGGAGGTAAAATCAAACATACATAAAATGCTTCCAGAGCATTTCATTTCAATTTGACAAGCTGAAAGATTGTATTTAAGAGATATTTGTGTACTGTTATGTACATGATACCACCTTAAATGGTACAGTCCTAACCACCATACGCTTTGATTCAGTCACCATATCATGTGCTTACTGCGCCTATATCCTACAAATACTGTGCCTCATTGTCCAGCTCTACCCCAGTTAAAGTGGGCTTCCTATTTCAACAAGATACTGCAACATAGTTCTGATGTCTGCAGATAAAGATAAAATCAAAGCTACTTTATTTATAAAGACCTTCAAAATCTAAGAACATTGTCAGTTGTTAACAGCTGAGAATTATTTAAAATATGAAAATCCACTTGACAAAGTTATGAAGGAAGTGTATTTCCCCTTGTTGCAGAAAGCTTGGAAAGATTATATCGGTCATACAAATCATACCACTTATTTTGCTTTTTTTAATCTCAACTGCTGATTCTAAACTAAAGACAGAAACAGGCATGACACTATTTTCCCTTAGCACTCCCCCACAAAAAAATGCAGTTAGGCAAAATGTATTTGTAGACTATACAACCAAAGCTGCACTGGCTGGCAATTTGTATGTGAAAAGATCTGTGGACATGTGACAGTTTTCTCAGAGAAGTTTGTATTTTATATATCTGGGAGCTGTGGTATCAATTGTGGTTTAGTTTTTCTAATGTGTTTTGAACACAAATTCATCTATGAGTTGAAAGTTTTGAAGATTAAACACTCAGACACTAGGAGAAGCTTGTGGGTTTGCCTGTGTGGTTTTACAGGCAAACAGCTTGGTTTGCTGTTGGCTGGCCACTTAACCATTGGCAGCAACAAACAGCACAGCCCTGTGAAGTGTCCATTTGGGAACTAGCTGCTGAATCCTCTATCTCAATTGCTTTTACTGCTAAGTGTTTCTATTATGTTTCCCCTTGCCTCTCATCAATGAAGCCATAATATATCCAATAGGATAATTATAATTAATTATAATAATTAATAATTAAGGATTAACAACCTTAATCCAAGCAGGTTGTTGGTAAGACTTAGAGATTTAATTTTGAGAACTGCGCTTGCTTCTGGGCTGTACCAGTTCTCTTTATGGATGCTGTGAAGTCTCGCAGAGGAGTAATCTCCAGCATAGGGATTTTTCAAGAAGAAATCAAGTGGCTTTACCACATTGTTCCCATAGATCTCAATCTAAGGGCTCTCATTGGAAACTTGAGCAGCAAATGAGCTGAGTCCACAAATGAATGAGTGGTGTTATTTGCAATGTTGCAGTAAATTAGAATGGTAGCTTGTGTTGGGCACTAATCAGTGCCCAGGCTGTCTAGATGGTAGAAATGTATTCATGTTACAAAGATGCTATTGTCTCATGCTCCATATCTATACAGCATAACAGCAAATATGGCCCACTGGTTCTGTATTGTTGAGTACAATGTTAAAAATGGATTCTATAAAACATACACAGGGATAGCTTGGAAAATTATTTTGAAAATCACCTGGATAGCAATCTTTCGAAAATCATCTCAAATGTCATTCTGAGAACCTTTGTAAGGCAGGAAATCAGAGCATATCACACATTTTGTATTCCCAATACGGATTCCTTTAGGACCTCTGTGTCACTTTTTTTCCCAGTAATGTATTTTCATTAGGTGGGGACTCACTGTTTTTTTGTAGTTCTAAAGTAATTGTTTCAACATACCTGAGGAAAGATAAAGCTCATACAATGAATATTAGGTTAGACAAACAGGTACAGAGTACTAGCTAAAGAGAATAGGGCTTGATTTTACAGTATATGAATTCTGACGAATTGTATTCCTTTTATGCAGGTCCTGGTTTTGCAGGACCATAATTCCTTGTGAAACACTAATTATTACTAGTTATCTTTCACTTTTATGTAGTTTGAGCCTCTAGTCATCTCAAGTCACAATGGTTTTCTAACAATGTGGTCACACTTACTTAATGGAAATTTTTTGAACTACAATGCTGTAAGTAGGATTAGTATCAAGCCTTTATGCTTGAAGATCTTATATTCAATGAGTCCTTCTGAATCTGAAAGTCCTCCTGTAACTTGCGTACAGGTTTGGCTATGCCTGTGGTTAGATTCTGGCTGTGGACAGTGGTTCATAATTGCAGTGATTAGTTAGTTTTACCTTTTTCTGTAGTTTTACCTTTCCACCTGGAAGAGGCTGTGTGACAACATCCTTAAGGTTCAGTGGTCCTTGCCTCCTCCTTTAAATACCAACCAAATATTTATGACTCAAGTGTTTACATCCCCATGTGATGCATATCTGCCAGTTGGGAACAGTAACGAATTAATATTCATATTTAGGAAAGAAAAGTTCTTATAATAACAAATGGGCTAATCTCATAATCTGATGCTGTGAATGGAATCATATAGGCTATTCTCTTCATATAAAATGGGCAGAACTCAGTCATAAGGCCCCAGCAGTGAGTCTCCTAAATAGTCCTATAATTGCAAAACCTCTGGGACTTGACAGCATGAGAATGGTGTCTGTGTTACAAGTAATTTGAAGTTCCCAAGGTATGTTTCAGAAAAAAACTTTATTTATCTGTGAGTTTTCCAGGCAAACTCACCATGAAAGGGAACTGTATGAGGACTTTAGACTCTTGAATTGTGTATTTGAATTAGTTACCTAGGGGAGAATGATTGAGAGTTGATGAAACACTTAACTGAGATCCTTTGTACATGTAAACATGTATCTACTGAATTAAATGAGTTCTTCAGAGAAATAGCACTGCTATTAGAGCAGAATGAAAACTGTGACAAAATAATGCCATGAATATTCATACGATTTTTTCAATGAATTCACTTTAACTCTGTTTTTCCCCTCTGAGTGTTTACTTTCTGCTCCTAACTAATGAATGTTTATTCTCTGGTGGATCAGTGATTTTTAAATGATATTCAGGAAAAGCAAATTTTTGAATTTGTATTATCAGTACTGTCAAAGGAAAAATGGTGGTGTTCACTCAAATACAGAGCAGGACTTTTCTTGGCTGTGCTGCTTTGGAGGATCTGGATGCATATCTACTTTAAAAAACTTAAATGTCAAATATATAAAACAAGTAAATGAATGAGCAATGGTAGAATTTTTTACTAGTAAACCATGACCTTCTTGCATATCATTTCTTCACAGAAAAAAGTAGCAAATTAATTGCTACATTTGTATTTATTCTCCAAGTTTTATTGTCTAACATGCTATGTCTTTTCACAGAAAACAGAATTTCTGTTTGTTATTCCCAGCTGTTAGAGACAGTGAAGTATTTATTTGCCACAAAGGATCAAGTAGAATTGCTACATTGAATGAACAGAGAATATATCTCTTGTGTTTTTCTAACTTCCTGAGATTTTTTTTTTCCCCAGTAAAGTATAAAATTCCTGAACCAGTCAGGTAACACAGGTGGCCCTGAGACATACTGGTTTTCGAATTGGCTCCAAAGAGAGGAGATGAGGGAGGCTTGTGTGGTGGTTTGGGTGGATTCCCCCTTTTGCTTGCAGCTTGCAGCCAAACACAGCCTGCTCTATCACCCTCCTCCCCCCTCACCCAGGGAGTAGGGGAGAGAATTTGGAAAGAAGGGCAAGGACTCACGGATTGAGATAAAAACTATTTACTAATTAAAATAAAATGATAATGATAACAACAGTAATAACAGACTATACAAATGAGTGATATGCAGTGCTCACTGCCCACTGACCAATTCCCAGCCTGTGCCAGCTAACGATCCCGCAGCCGAGACGGTCCCGAACCGAAACCCCGGAAGAGTGAGCCTGAGCGATCCCCGAGAGAATGCATCGTCTTCCGGTCAACACTGGTTAATATACTGACATGACGTGGTATGATATGGAATATTTCATTGGCACAACCAGATGCCAGTTTTGGGTTTTGCTCCTCACTGCGCTTCCCCCCTCCCAGTCCTAATGCAGCTGTGAAACAAACAGCGTGGCCTTGAGCTGCAGCAACACAAGTACTGTTATCAAAGTTCTTCTCATGATATGTCTGAACTGAAACACTGAAAGTAAAATACAGCTATTCTAATTACTAAAAAGAAAATTAACTCTATCCTAGCAAAACCAGGACAGCTTGGATCCAAGGTTTTAACTTGGCTCATGACAGATAAAACTACAGAGCTGGAAAAGATGCAGAGTTGAAACTTCTCAGAGCTTTGATCACAGTTTTAGTTCAGCCTCATGTCTAGCAGGTAAATTCTCTCCTAGTTAGAAACAGTATAATCAGCAATGGTTGTAGGTTTGCTATTTATTTCCTTTTAATACTATTTTTTCCCTCACAAAAATCAAAGGAATTTGAGGTATTGTTTTGCTGTTAAAGGTAAAAGACTGGCTATCCTCCAAGTGTCAGTCTTCGTGGAGCAATTTATCACCAGGCTGCCAGCTTTAGCATGGTAGCAGAAGATTAGAAAAGAACACAAGGGAATCAGAGAGAAAAACAAACTTAAAGCTTGTGCAAATTTCAGTTCCCTTCCCTATCTAGTTTGTAAATGAAGTAAAATATCACATCAATTTATGTTTCAGCAATGACAGTAAAATGTATTGTAAAATAGAGAATGCTAAAAAAACACATTATAGCAAAGTATTTATAGACTTACATTTGCAAATTGTAATTATGATTGTAAGATACAAAGAAACAATCTCAAGAAAGAAAAGTAAGTCGGGGCAATTGGTGGAAGTACAGAGTCTCCTTACATTCTTTTGAAGTCATGTCTGAATTTATTTCAGTTGCTGCACAAGAGTATCTTGGTGCTTTAAACTACCCTTAAAACAGAAGTAAAGATTTTTAAAGATCTTTTTTGCATTAATAATAAATAATTTTAAAACCCCTTTTTGTTTATTTTTTCTGAAGTTATGAAGGAGCTTCATCTTAATCTGAGAGTGCTCTGTGTGCTGCACTGTTTTCAACATATCGAGAAGTTTGTGGGATATTGGCTTCAACCTGGGAGAACAGCAAGGCTGTTGGCTTCACAGTGTTCCCCTTTGCTCCCTGCTGTATCTGCCAGTAAGGAGCTGGAGATAGTCTGTTGTGACAGCAAGGTGCAAAAAATCAGTAGATAAGTAGAAAAACAAAGACAGACTTGGACTGTGGAGAAGAGTGGCAAATGGTATCAGCTACCTAGGCATCTTTTTTCCTCCAGTATGACTATTCTGCATTTGCTTGCTCTATGAATCAGGGTTCTTCCCCAAGGGGCATCTGTGACACTCCCCCTAAGTTCTATCGCCTATGTGTTGCATTTTCAATTCTGTACAGGTGAGAAAGACAACACTAATTGAACCTGCAGTTGGTGTTTACTATTTTGTTTTGCTGCAGAAAAATGTGCAGCACTGAAGGTGGAGGAGTGGAAACCCACTCCAAAATGTTGGAGTCTCATTATCAGCCCTGAGGCATTCCAGGCATTTTATTTTTTAACTGCCATAAACTGACAAATATAGAAAATAGATCACAATGTAATATACACCTTGTGGGAAAGTGAAGGAAGAAATGAAATGATCCATATAAAAAATAGAAGGTCAGGTAGCAAGGCAGAACTACATATATAGGCTAAGTGTCTGCATGTGCAAAATTGAAAAGAACTGAAATTAGAGAAAGCAACAACCAAATAAAGAACAGCATATGATCAACAGCCCAGTATATCTTTAATTATAATTAGGTTTTTTAATTTAGCTAAGAGTTAAGTAGCAGTATTCCTAACTCAGAAGTTCAGAATTAATAAAAAACAATTAAAATGCATCACTACTGTTAATGTCTTGGGGGATCTGTGAAAATTAGAAGGAAAAAAAATAGTGGGCTACATCCTCTATATAAAACCTGGTAATTTCTACTGTGTTATGTTCTTCAAGCTCAGGAAACGAATTTGGAATTTATAAAGGAATTAAAGGCTGAAACTCTTACATCTCTTTTTATGGAGTAAAGTTAGTGATATCACCTCATCCAGATTATTCTGGATGTTACCAAAACCCAGGGCAGACTGGTGGATTGTGTGATGCTTATGTGAAGTTTAAACAAGCTAGCCTTCAATTTTATGAATTGATTTTTGTTTGCTTCAAGTTTAAGGGATTTGATGACATAATTCAAACAAAGATGTATACATCTGAACTGAAAGCCAATTAACTAAAACAATTTTGTAAGAATTAAAGGCTTTAAAACTTTTAGTCTCTGTAACTGTTTTACGTGGGACATTTTGGACAAATATAATAGACTGAAAATTACTCAGAGGCAAATTTATTTGCTGTGTATTTGGAACTAGAGTTCTTTTAAAAAAAAAGATTCTGTATGACTAAAGAAAGAATTAATTGCAATTCTGGACTGACTTAAAAATTGAATGTTTTTATTATTTCTAAATAAATTTAGTAAAAACGTTCAAACATTGTTGAAGTAACTTAGAAAGTTAAGTTACATATTTGAAAAATGACTTTCAAAAAGTGATATGTGTGTATCCTATCTGAAGTATTTCTGTTCCTTGGATGGTGTTGATCTTGGCAAACAAATTTTGAAACACTGGCAGGTGTTAAGAATGTAGTCACACTTTTTTTTTTTTTTTTTTGAAAACCCTATTTAGATACTCTGCATACACCCACTCTTCTGTTCTCATGTTGCATTTTACTTCATCTTGATGTGTGAATTAAATCACCCAAATGTGTTTTAAAAAATCCTCCAGCTGGAAAAGGAGATAACACGGGAGACACCAAACAGGTTGAGTGCTTCAGATAGGTTTTTAGAGCAAAATGATTGCTTTAGCAGTTAAAAAATGAGTATGTGGTGACAGACAGATGCAATGCTTTTCAAAAGCAAACAGCTCCTACCAGAGTCTGGCAAACTGCTGATCTACATCAAGATAATTAAGGTAAAGTGTTGGGGGCTGGCCATGGAATTTTTTTCCTTTATATTTAGAAACATGGTAGAACAAAATTCTAACTTGATGCTTTCTATTTACTTGTTCTTATTTAACTTACAGGAATTCCCAGATACTCTGAAAGAACAGACCTATCTGAAAGAATGGCATGTGAACAATACATTGATACAAACCATTCCAGCTTTCATTGCATTATTTCAAGATCTGAGAGTACTGGAGTTGTCAAAAAATCAAATCAACCATCTCCCAGTGGAAATTGGTAAGTTATTTCAAGATACTCAGCTATTCATGCTTATGCCATTTAACTATATTGCAGGGAAGTGAACACCCATGGATATTCTTACTCATCTACTGAAAACTGCCTTCTCATTTGTTTCCAGTGAACAGTCTGGAATTCCTCTAAATTTTTGCAGCTCTCTGGCTGTAATTATACTTGCCAAATGGTGTGCAATACTATGTGTGCAGTATGGCTAAAACATAGGAAAAAACTGGCACATTTTTGTTATCTGATTGCGAGGCAGTTATTGCTGGTATTCAAGTAGATGGAGAGTTTTTCCTAAGAACAGGTGGTGATTTATGTTCTTTACAGTTTAAGAAAAATAGAAGTATTACAGAGTTGTAAACTGCAAACAAGATGAATTGAAACATAAAATTGTAGTAGAAAGTAATAAAAAACGTAATGCTGCATAAAATCCATCTTTTGAATTTTCTAATGAGTTCAGTAATGATCCCCTTTTAATAAAGTGGTATATCCAACATGACATCAGGGCTTTTAAAGGAACAAATTCTTAACACTTACGTACTTTGACCTTTGCTATTCTAAGCTACATAACAACAATTTTAATGTTTGACTTTCCTGTATTTTCTGGTCTAACAATATAAAAAGCTTATTTGAAATGCTCTAATGGTTTGAGAGGGAGTTACTGCTTTTACAAGGAAGAGTGTTGCTATAACTGGTCATATGTTTGACAGCTGAAGAAGCTGGGTCCACTACGAGTCCCCTGTAGTTGAGCCCATGCATCCAGGTCCGCTAACACCTCAGCCTTTGTTTTTAGATGTGGTAGTCCTAAACTTTCTCCATGACTGGTATTCCTTAGGTATACTAAGAGCTAACAACTTTCAAGACAAGGATAAAGACTAAAACCTCCACCTCCACAGTTATCATAGACTTTGCTTTCTTCCTTTCAAAGTTTTTCTTGCTGATGTTTTATGCAAATGTTCACTTGAAGGGCCAGTGAATATTAGAAAACTGTTTGCTGGAGATCCTGCCCGAGACATAATGTTACAGAACTCGCCATCCTCTTAACAGTGAACTCTTTTTCAGAAATTTTTTTTTCAAGATTAATTAAATGAGAGGAAGTATGACTGTACTAAACACTGGAGAAACCTGGATTTGAACCTTTACTTTTGAGACACTGCATAACCAAATTAACAAATTTAGTTAGCTGTAGGTGCAATTTAAACAATAATTGTACATTTTAGAAGTAATTCTAGCCTATCTAGACATAGATTCACTGATGTAGTTTAAAAAGAAATAACTAAAAAATGTTACTCTGGGGCTGTGCAACTGAACTGTTAAGCACATTTTTGCCAAAATTCTCTAATGATTTTCAGTCTTAGTGAATGTCCTATGCTGATAGACCACCCATTAGTAATGCAATGGAGCTGCCCTTGTTGTTATGGCACAAGTTAGAGAGAATTTTTTATCTCAAATTATATAATGCTCTCTTTGTTGACATGTAATATGGTATGCCTGCAAATGACTATGCTTTTATTTCATGTACTATATATGCATACAGACACAGACACTAATATGTATTGGAAATGTTTGTTATTTTAATAAGACATTATTATGAAAGGTCTTGGATGTTTTGAAGTTTTTGGATGCTGCTTCAACATGAAGCATCTCAGACTATTGCCATCTAGCTTCTAAATTGTGACAGGGAAAATAATTGATGTGGGTTTTGTCTTGGAGCTCTTTCTAAGCCAGGAGTGAAGACTGGGTGCTAAATCAGAAGGTAAGGTCTCTGGAAAGGTTAAGTGCTAAGGTATTAATCATTTTGTGTTCTGTTTATGAAACAGCAGTAAGTAGGTAAATATCATAGCTAAAACATACTTGAGAGTAATGACAGATGGTTGAAGTTGGCAGTGACATGCATGCTGTTGAGTCTTTAATCTTCAGACAGAATTGAAGCCAAGTTTAGACCAACAGATCACCCAGCAGAAGCTAAACTGGTGAGCCATGTTAGGACTACGTTTGATTCTCTCAAGGGGGTGTTAAAGGTGTGAGAGATGACTAGAATATTTTAAGTGAAAAAAGGTATTGCTACAGTAGCAGTCTCTGGACTAAAATATCTGCACGAACTGAAGTTTCTGTTCCTGTGTTGTCTGATTTAGAAGGGAATGCCCTACTCTGAATTAGAAAGAAGAAAGACTTGAGTACACTCTCAGTTATTTCAAATCACATTCCTAAGCTATAATTACCTGTGCACTTGATTGGATCAGATTTGGACCAGAAGACAGATGAGAATACTTTTTATTTGATTTATTTTGTGGAATAGCAAATATTTTCATAGGAAGCAAGTAAAGAAAAATGGTGAAAACTGCAAAATGGGGTTGCTCTCTGTCTCAAAGTTGCCAGATCTGGTTTTCCCAGGAATAATAGAAAAAATTGTGAGCTGGGCTGTACATGGTGGATTTTCTTTGGCAATGGTTTCTGGGTGAGTTTGCAGTTCTCGCTCTTGACTGCATGGCTGTAGTGCAGTCACTGTATATCAGTTACTGGTAGTACATTGATAATTGCTATAATCGAAAACATCCAGTAGAAGATATTACCATATTCACATAGAAAGGAGTGAACTGCATTTTCATGTGATCCCAAAGCTTTTGTGCTGGGATGGGTTAGTGAGGCCATATAATGACTTTTTTTCCCTGTATTGGGTTTGACTGAGGTGGAGTTAATTTTCCCTGTGGCAGCCCTGAGAGTGCTGTGTTTTGTATTAGTAGCTAGAAAGATGTTGATAACACACCACTGTTTGGTTACTGGTGAGCAGTGCTAGCACAGCACCAAGGCTGCCTGTCCGACTTTCCCTCTGCCCAGTAGGCTGGGAGTGGGGAAGGTCTTGGGAGGGGACACAGCCAGGACAGCTGACCCAGACTGACCAAAGGGGTATTCCATACCATATGATGTCTGCTCAGAAATAAAAGCATGGGGAATGGAGGGGGAAGGGGGGGCACTCGTTATTTGTGTTTGTCCTTCAGGAACCGCAAAGCGTATGAAAGCCCTGCTTCCCGGGAAGTGACCAAACTTCGCCTGATGGGAAGTAGAGAATAAATATTTTGTTCTTTTGCTTCTGTGTGTGCAGCTTTGCTTTGCTTCTATTAAACTGCCTTCTGTCTCAACCCACAAGTTTAGTTGTTGTTGTTTTTTTTTTTTTGTTCCATCTTATTTTCTCCCCTCCCCATCCTGCTGAGGAGAGGGGTGATAGAGTGGCTTGGTGGGCACCTTGAATTCAGGCAAGGTCAACTCACCACAGTCCCACAAATTATTCATGAAACAGAACTGTTAGTAAAATCTTTGTAACTCATTATGTTGTCTCACATTTTAGATATGCCAAATATTTAAGAGGAATAATAGCTGTGCTTTTGAGACATATTTTAATAAGAAATCACAGGGATTTTTTTGGTCTCCTCCCTACCTTACAGTATAAAATTTCATTTTGCATACCATTAATCCAATTTCCTAGCATTCAGAGAGGAAAACTGTAAGTAATACAGTTGTAAATGACTTCCAGATACCTAAAATAACCTTTTCTATTAATAAGTTTTCCAGTGTACTGATGTGTGAGTTTCCAAGAAGAAAATAGATATTTCCAGTTTAAATGCAGTCTAGTTCTGAGGACTTGTAGACGCATCTCTTACCCTTGCCATTTATTCAGTATTCAATATTGTCTGTCCAACAGTTTGATCCTGTATACAACTGGGGAAAATTTTGTTTATAGTCCCCATTTGAAAAGGAAGTATTAAACAACTCTATTACAAATTAACTGTTTTGAGGAGGATGCTATTTGCTGTAAGGCTAGCTGCTCAAATGAAGTTTTGCTCATACTGGAACAGCTTAAAAGTTCCTCAAAATCTAACACTTGGTTAGCGCACCATAAAAATAAATACAAAAAAAAAAGTGCTTTTACTTGGACCAGATAGAGAGGAAATTATCTTTTTTACTCATCCACTTAAGGTATTAAAAATGGGAATATTGTGGGAAAATGTAAGACAAACATATTGCTTTAACAAATGTCAACATCATTGGATCTTGCAAAGGCCAGTACTTTATTAAGCTGAATTGCTTGTAAGGATTTTAAATAGTGCCATTAGGTATGGAACTCAGACTGTACACACTGCCAGGGAAACTACTCATTACATAAATTATTTATCCAAAAGATTCCTATCTATTGACTTTGTCATATTGCTTTATGTAACTATATTATATACAACAATGTTAGAACACAATCCTTCTACGTGGAGCAGATTGCTATTAGCAAAAGCTGTGGTTTGTTTCTCAAGTCTTCACTTGAGACACAGTGGGAATGTTAGAGGCTGCGTACACCATTCTGGTTATGATGGAAAAATTTTATCTAAAGTTTTTCAATTTCCGAGATGATAAAAATGTGTTGTTCTACTCTTCCCAAACAGTTTACTCCATGCTTATTTCTGATGATCAGAAAGTGTTTTCTGGCCTGGAGGCTGACCTTGTACTCTACTTTGCCCTTGGGAGGTACATCCTTTTTTGTGGATACCCAGGGAGTCCATGTTTCACTTATCTGCTCACATTAAAAAAGGAAGTAATGTATTTTCTATAGGAATTCTCATCTACCAAAATATCTTCAGTTCATCTCATTGCATTTTTCTTTTCATTAATTTCTTCTTCAGCCATTTCAGTAGTCTCTCACCTTATATTTTTTTCCCAGAAGGTATCTATGTCTACCATTTAACCCACAAGAACTTCTTCATGTTTTCCTACCTCTTTTTTGCTACAAGAAAACCTTCTTTCCCCATCCCCCCTTATATTGTACAAATACTCTCCTGATCACAGACCAAGATCCCAAGCTTTACCCTTTTTATCTTTTGTTTGTAGTAGGTACTTGCAGTTTCTTTCAGCATGCATAAATTTTTTTTAATTGATCACATGAAGGTTGGTTAAAGAATGAAATTTTACTAGCCCAGGGTCAATCTGTTACTGTGCTACAGCTTTCATAGCCCTTCTGACAAAAAAAGGTTTTGCAACTTTGTTATGCAAAAGGAGTTCATCCCTCCTTTGTTTGGATGCTTTGAGCAGAAGGTAAAAAAGAAAAAAAGAAAAAAGAAAAAAGTTTTAACTGTTACCTGTAAGCTTGAACATCAATATCTCATTTCAGAGAAATCAAAGGCAATGTCACTGTTTAGCAGAGAAAACTGGAAATGGGAGTCTATTTTTCTTGGCCCATAGGAAGCTGCTATCAGATCCTTGCAGATCAATGCCAAAAATTGCTTTGTATTTTACTCCAATTTATACAAGTGGATCTGTATTTGCATTGAATGGGATCCTCAGACAACAAAGGCTCTGTAACCTTATCTGTATTTTGACTCTGAAACCTTGTTAGGAGCACTAACTAGTCTTGTCTAAATTGTGAAGTTGCATTGTCATTATTGCTATGATACATTGCCTGTCAGAAATTGTAGAGTTTAATTACCGGTTTAAATAATGAATTACAAATTTAAACTGGGAATAAATGCTATTTTAGGCCACAAATATAGCATTGAAGCTCACATTTAAAAATAAAATATTCTTAATTGTGAAACTGCCAAGGAAGCCATGGATTTCATTACTGCTTTTATTGCCACTTCTTGGAAAACACAGAGATGTTAGTTGTTTAAGTCCTTAATTTGCATTTTTTTATAGAACTGAAAATTGAGTGCCATTAAGTGTAGTTAACAACAGTGTTGTAGCAGCAATGATTTTATTATTACTACTTTTAATTGAGAAGTTGTTGGGTATTATTTGAATGTATAGGTGGCAGGTCTGGCAGTCAAATCCTGCTCAACATTTGTTGTGAAGGAGATGTCACCTCCTCTGTCCCCTCCTAAGGCTGCCTCAATGACTGTATTGCATGCTCATTAAGGCTGCTGGTGCCTGAGCACCATACCTAAGATGATGGAGAACTTCTTCACTAAGAAACTATAAATAAGACCCTAAATACTGATTACAGGGTAGTGAAAGTCGTTCATACTGCCTTATCACCCCCCACACCCTATCAGTCCCTTAGCTGTTATTGTAATAAACTCCAAATGTGGGTAAGAATGACTGGAATCTTATTGACAATGCCTATGGTGTTTGAAGGTTATTTAGGGATTAGTTGTTCTCCACTTCTGCACTTCAGCCACGATACCTGGATTGGAGAATCTTGAGTTGCCATGAATGTTGTCTTATAGTTGAGCATTTGTATTCTTTCTCTGACAAAAATAGCATCCCAGACTTTATTAATGGGTTTAGGGGAAAAGAAGAGTAACAGAGTCTATAACCTGTATTACCATTCAGACAACTCATATAACCTAAATGTATCCCTGTGTAGATTGTTGCTTGTAAGAATTTTAAAACTTTTTTAGAGGAAGGAATAATTAGTGAAGTGAAGCTGAATGGAAACTAGGTTGAAATTAAAAATTTATAAAGGAAACGCAAGTTGTGACCAGCTCATTTGGTTTCTATCTTTCTTCTGAGAAGACGACTGAGCTTCAAGTAGTAGATCTTGTCTGTCTGGCATCCCATAAAGCATTTGATACAGTGAAATATGGAAAATGAATATTTGAATCTAAAGGAGAATGGTATTTGATAAAACAATCGTAAAACTGAACAAAGGTTGTTAAAGCAGAGGCAACAAGGCACTCATTTGGAACGAGAAACTATTGGTCAGGAGGAAGATCACTTGGAGAGTTAGTCAAGGATCAGTCTTGAGTTTATTTTGTAATTATTTTGAGGAACTATGGTGCTGAAATTTTCTTCTGACATAGTTTTGAATGTTATTGTCACTTCACAAACAAGAGGAAATATGAAAAGCTGGATGAGCAGGTGGACTTCAAAAAAGGGAGAGAAATTGAATTCATGATTACAGAGTTCAAGGTCATATTCTCAGGAGTTAATAATTTGTTCTGCAAGTTATGGGCTCATTAAATGCAAATAATTGAAGAAACAAAATTCTTAATCTGACAGTCACAGAAGGACAATCCATTGTGATAACACAAAAAGCTGTGGTCATCCAGATTCAAGAAGAGTCATTTCAGGTAGGAATAGATGCAAAAGAAGTCTATTAGGACCTTTCAAGGAAGGGAATTTTCATTTTAGAAGAGATTAGAAGAATTGGCTTATTCAGGCTAGTAAAATAAGTTCTAGTATATCTGCTGCCTATGAAAACATAAGAGAAATAAACACCAGGGAAGAAAAAGAGCTGTTTAAAGGTAAAATTGGCAAAAGAATTAATGGTTATAAAACTTCTACAGATAAATTCAGACTGGCAATCTGAACACCATTCTCAATCATGAAAAGGATGAACGTCTGTAACTTTGTTTTTCCATAAGAATGGTGGATGTCAAAAACAAAACTACTTTAAAGATAAAATGTGATAAATCAAAAAATGCGAATATGTGAAATAGTAGTGTAAAGGTTTTATCTAGGAGGTCCTGGCGAGTCCTATGTATGTCTTATGGTCCTAGAGGCAGGGTTAATGCTTGACTACTGTTCAGCTATTGGATTACATAGCTTAATCCATTGGAGAACCCAGAGGTGAAAAAATATCTATTATGCAGAATTGCAAGAGATTGCTCCCTGCAGACAGATCTCCGTGAAACGTATCTCACTCATCTATGTTGCCCTAAGTTTGTTATCAGAATTAGATTCAGTTGTAACACTTGTGGCCTTTCCCAGTAATTTTCATAATCTTAGCCACAGCAGTTACTGGCAATTGACTGTAGATTCTATAGTGTACTTCTGTCAGATTATATATGACAAGAAAGAATGTCATGCATGTTCTATTTACTTGCAATTTGGGACAAACCATATCAACATTGACACATGTTAGAAACTGTGAAAGGAGAAAAAACTCGAAAAGCCACCGTTTCAGAAGGCAAGAAAGTCAGAAAGGCAACCTGTGCTCGTCTCCATCACACTGCTCAAAAAGGCTGTTAAATTTTTGTGTTTTTATTGTAAGCAATTCTGCTCCTTGTCTTTTAGTTACATGCTGGAGATGCATCATCTGAGCAGTTAGACAAGTGAGTGACTAGGATATTGGTGACACTGGATGCCTTGTCTTCATTAGTTCTGCAGCTGCTAATGAAACCGAGAGGTTGAAATTTCAGTGGCTGAAAAGTAAGCAAATACATCTGTTGTGGGTTAACAGCTGTAGGCAGCTAAGCCTCACACAGCTTGTTCAGCCTCTCACAGCTGCTTGTTCAGTCTGCCACAGCACGATGGGGATAGAATTGGAAGGACAAAAGTGAAAAAACTCGTGCATCAGGATGAAGACAGTGTAAGTAAGTGTAGCCTAGAATAATATAAGTGCCTTAAAATTAAGCTGACAAGAATGATAAATTCCAATAAAGAAAATGACAAAAAAAATGCATACATCCATTATCTTTTATAATAAAAGTATGCAATACTGGATACCAAAGACAGAATTCTTGGTGCAGTAAATTTAGTAGGAGCAATTATTCCCAATGAATAGGTTCTATAAAAAATACTAAATTGTTTTTCAATTAGCAGGCAAGTTTTCCAATGTGACCAAACCAAAAGCCAACTTCTGTAGTCTCAACTGAGATAAATAGGTATCTCATCCTCAGTAGAATCAAGATCTTTGTAGGTCTTTGCTGCTTTCTTTCCAACTCTCACCAAAACCACTGCTGAGTAAAGGAAGTCCATACGAGTACAACACAACACTTCTGCACCCCTCCCCATTTTTAGTGACCATTGCAGAATATATTTATTGATCTCTTACTCATCATAACATTCAAGAGTTTTTTCTTTGCTAAACTGAGTATGCCTTTTAATTTTACTTTCTCTCTCTCTCTCTCTCTCTTTTTTTTTTTTTTTTTTTAAATGCACTGATTTTAATTATCTTTCCCTCACAGGTTGCTTAAAAAACCTTAAAGTGCTCAATGTGAGTTTTAATAATTTGAAGTCAGTCCCTCCAGAATTGGGTGACTGTGAGAATCTGGAAAAACTGGATTTGTCTGGAAATATGGAAATAACAGAGCTCCCATTTGAAGTAAGATACAAAAATATGTTTCTTCCATCTTTTTTATTTGGCTTATAAGGTATTTTACAGTTTTAAAATCTTTTCTTAACAGATTAAATCACATTCATTGCAATTTTTAGCAATAATATTTCAGTAGTAATATCACTAAAAATGCCTTAGCAGCAGTTAAATGGGACCAAATTTCTTTGTTTTGGTTTCCAAGTGATTAAATTTTACTTGTATTTATTTTGATATATGAAGGAGGACATGATTGCAAAGGGCATTTGGCCAGTGGTGATGAGGAAAAGGCTGAAAATAGCTATTTTCTGTGAAAGTGAAGTACATTTTGACAGTCATATTCACATACTAACCTTCATTTGACGCCAGTGTCTGTGATCCTTTAAAAAAACATATGGAGAGGTCTATAAACAACACTGAACGTTGTTATGAGCATAAATAGATGTCTGAAAGGGATATTACATATAAGGCATTGTATGAATATATCATAAAGATTCCCAGGCAGGTACAAATATTGTTCCTTGTATTGGATACATAGCTGCTCTCAACCACAGCTGCTCTGAAGCTTATTGTTCATGGAGAAATGAAACCACTGACTGGTACCTCACCACAGTTTCATCTCTATTAGGTTCTTAGTATCTTGATTCCTGCAGGATAAGTCAGGGGAGCTCTGGGGAGAAGTGTCAGGCTCTTCTTTTCTTGATTCCTATTTTTTCTCTAAACATCTATTACTGGCGATTTACAGGCAATGTTAGAGTGGATTAAATTTGTGTGAGATCTGGTTTGGCCATGCTTATGTTCTGTTCTAAGGAAATACAAACAGTAATAAACTTTCCCCTCTGACTTTTCACTGTAAGGTAGTTTATCTAAAAAGAACTGTTAAAAAATGATGTGAAGGAAACAGAAACAAAGGATGAACATTAGTTTCATGTCATAAGGGGACACTGCATAGCAATGGTAGCAACAGCACAAACATTGCAGGTCTCCTTTCTCCTTCCTCCCCTCCTCCTTCAGATAGCAAAGATAGGGGATAAACCAGATAAAACTTAACTGTTTGAAAGGAACTATAATGGAATCAGAAAAACATAGATCCTGAACAGGCAAAAGACTTAAATATAGGCATCTAGGAAAAGTGAGTATATTCAAACCTGTGGGCTAGAACAGTGATTTTAACCCCAATCATTGGTATGTTAAAATCAATGAGTATTTTCTCAGTTGCTTTTAAGGGCCTTGTAACACAAAGTCTTATGCGTGTCTATGCATTATGGGTAGCCTTTGCATGTAAACTTAAAGGTGTACTGTGTATGTACATCTTTCCAGGGCTGAGTCCTAAGACAGCAATGTTTCTCTTGGAAAGCTCAGAAATTTTGTTCCCTTCTGGCAGTCTCCTATTAAATGAGATTGAAAACCACTAAAATTGAGTGTAGCCTACTGAGTAACAGGTTGCTTACAATCTATGGAAAAAATTTGGAGCTTTGTAAATGACTTTATGTAACAGCCAAAGCGGAAAGCAACTTAATGTCAGCATGTTCTCAAATGTCAAGAAGAAAAATATTGGCATTGTCTATTGGGTTTCCTTGTTCCTCTGGAGGCCGACACTTAATTTATGCTTGCAGTGACCTGGGAGGTAGGCTACAGAAACCCAGAATCAACATTTCAAAGGCAGCTTTGGAAGCCAAACATACAATTAAAGAAACAGTTTTGTCAAATAATTTAAAATGCTGCAAAGTGTTTGGCCTTTGGTGTACTCAATATGACTGATGTTATTCAGAGCAATTGCATCAGTATCCTTGCTACTGTTATAAGTGTTTGATGTTTGATTCCCGATGGGCAAAAGGTGGTAGCCACTGGCAGGTAACTATTTCATGAATTAAAATATTGAATTAGTCTGAACAGCCTAAAGAAGGAAAACAGAAGTACACTGTGAAGTGTTGTGGTGGGCTAACCTTGGCTAGTAGGCAAGGCTAACCTTGGCTAGCCCACTCAGCTGCTTATTCCCTCCCCCTCCTCAGCATAACATCAGTAGAAAATAGGGTAAAAAAGGTCATGGGTCAAGGTGGGCTGCACTTTGTTCAGGAATATTCATCTGCACCAGCATGGGTCTACCACAACTGTGGTGTGGACATCTGCTTCACCATGGAGCATGTCCTTCTCCTCCTACATGAACCTTGATATTCCCTCTGCTCTTTCTCACTCTTTTTATTCTCTCCCCTTTTCTATAGCATTTTTTTCCCCTTAAATAAGTTTTAGAGCAGCGCCACACACTTGTCTGTGTCCTATTGTGGGTCCATTGGAGCTGTCTGGAGCTGCCTGTGTTTAGCATGGGGTTAGCCCCTGGTCTCTTCCCACAGAGTCCACCCTGCAGCCCTCATGCTGCCAGCACCTTGTTATGGACACCCCATATAAATATTTATGACCCCATGTTAAACAGATCAGTTATTACCTAATACAATTGTTGCTAACATCTATTAATCCAGTGAAATGCTTATAAGGGTTGGTCATCATTTTCTCTTGTAGTGTGAGTACTGATAACTGTGAAGTAGAAATGAACAAGTACAGGTTTGGTAGGTGGATGGGATCTCTTTATAAAATTAAGAAAAAATAGAAAACTCAGCAATTGATACACAAAAAAAGGTAGAGAGCTGCTAAAAAATATTTCCTGTTTATCATCTTTTAGGAAGTCCAATTTTTATTTGACTTTTAAATCCTTACAAGTTTCTTCTGGGAAGGTTAAAGAAATGCATGAGAGCAGCAACAGTATTCTCCTATGTAAAACTTGAAAGAAATAAAGGCAAACTTCAGCCCAGTAGAAATGATCAAAGTCTAATTTTACCTTGTTTTTGTACATAGAATAATGTCCAGAGAGATACTGAGAGCATATATGAAAATGGATGCAAAGAGATTGATAACATTCTTGTAATTCAGTCAAGAATTTTTGACAGACCCGTAAAGGTTTATGAGATTACCAGAACTCTGAGACTGAATTACATCTTCATTAATCAGTTCCCCTGTTCCCTTTCTATCCATTTTCTTCATGACAGGTAAAAAAAAAAAAAAAAAAAGGAAAAGTCTGGAAGTTTTTAGTTTATTTGGTTATTTAGTTGTTTGCTTTCTTAGGAAAAGAGTTCAGTTTTTTGTTTGTTTGTTTAATAGACATAAAATATTACATTGTGAGCTAATTTAGGGGGAGAAAGCTCAATGGAATGGATCATATAGCACAGGACTGTAGTTGCTGCCCAGGAGTGGTAGAGGGTGAACGTACGTTATTACACAAAACCATACAGTGTCGCCAAGTACCCCTTTTGTATTGAAGATCTTAATTTGTTAAGACAGCTACCATGTATGTATATTCATTTTTGGTGGCATATCAGTTGTTTCTACACCTGAATTTGTCAGTCAGCCACATAAGAAATTCACAGACTCTTATAATGTCTGTCAAGTCTGTTAATTTGTTCTGTAAATAAGGAAACCAGTAAAGACAAGATGCTAAGCACCTTTATCTTGTACTACTTTTGAGGTAAACTGCAGTGATTAAGAAGGTTTTTAGCATGTACACTGACTACACTTGCCTTTTTCATCTACCAATTTCATTTTTCAATGCAGGTGTTTTAAGCTGAGGTATGCTATGATTGAGATGCTCTAGCACAACTGAAATCTTGTGAATCTTCATTTTCTGTTAAAGGATTCAATATCTGGTAGTGATATATGCATCTTTTTCAGAGTTTGGGTAAAAAAACCCACCCCAAACCATAGCATTATGCTTGGTCTGATGTAATTTGTTTTATGGAATGGCTGTATCAGCATCTAAGATCATGTGTGTCCAGTGCTGGACTTTTGTCAGTATTTCTCAAGGAACATTACTAGGACCAGTATTATTCAATATATT